GCCAATTTCCAACCCATTGAGTATTTCACCCTGATTGATTCAATCACACTATATTTGTACATACATAAACTCTATCATATGACCGCGACAAAAATTCCTTGTTAACGCCGGGTACTCATTTTTCCATTAAAAAAAAAAAAAAATTTCAAATGTGCTCTAATTTCATACTAAGCTATAGAGGAACCATTAGCAATTTATCTATTTAGGTCAAAATATTAAGAAAAACAAAATTATATAAATGCCGTGAAAAAAAAGGGGGGGACATACTATCCAAATAATCTGCAGCAATCAATAACTCCAGACACAACTCGAGTGGGAACTCCATGTCTGGCACGTTATTTTGGTCCTTATTCCGTTCATTGTAGAGGAAATATTCGCAGACTTTCTCAAGTACGACCCCACTATAATAAAGTGATGATACGAAGAGCAGTCCGTCAGCTATAACTTCCTTCGTCCTCTGGCGTCTTTTGGTTCTAAGCAGACTTGTTGGGAAGGGAGTAGAACTCAACAATAAAATAGAATAGAATGAAATAAATAAATAAAGGGACAAGGACGGAAGGGAAAAAGAAAAGGGAAAAGAAAACAAACTTCATATTCTCAAAAACACAGCGGCCAGTGACGGCTTCAGAGAAGTTGCCTAATAATTACAAGATGATTAGGCTTTGGGTTTTCGCAAATGGGTTTGACTGTGGAAATTTTTTTTAAAAAAAAAAGGGGGGGGGCCTTTTGATCAGGAGGCATAATACTCACTTGCGGGGTCCAACATGCGCCGTATAGTTCCAGACACACAGGCAGCGCTCCGGGGTATTATGAATTCGAATCCATCGTTGGAGGCTAGAGTGACGAACTCTGGTGGTGAGGGTTTGGCGGACATAGCTAATTGTACTAGTATTATGAGAGCGGCGGGAAGACGGTGAGCAATTGAGACCAATTGAAAGTTCAACGAAGGTTGGTTGTGTTCAGGGATATCGAAATGATGGGAGGTATAACTGGCCCGGCATAGCTATATTTATGACAGCGTGGTGAATAGGCGAGTTGATAACAGCATCCTATCGGTGTCCTACCTATACGGAGTGAAAGTAGTAACCTATACGTTATATAACGAATTATTACCAGGTCAACTACTCTGTACGACTCCGTACGACTCCGTACTACGCTATGGTGCGCGGAGTTATGTCGTTGTTTCAAGCCCGGGAAGTGCGAAGGCGCCAAGTCAGGTGATTAGTGGCTGGAGCTATTGTTTGCCGGGGGGGGGTTCCGAGCGACCATCAAAATAGGGCGATTGGTTTAGTGGTATAATACCCCCTTAGCATCCAAAGAAACCTGCGTGGGGGTGGTCGGGAGTTCGATTCTCCCATCGTCCATT